GCAAAAATATGTAGACACATTTAAAAAATTTTTTGGTCAAAATATACACATTTTGTACTTCTTTTGTGTACAGCCAAAAGGAAAGAAAACTCCAAGTTATGGGATCTCAGAATCCAACAACACAAAACTTTAGCATAATTCCAATATAAAATCGTGAACTCCTATGCTTTTCCTTTCAAATATTTGGATCCTTGATTATGCCACACTAAACTTTGTCATCCTGCGTTATCAAATACCCATTGGTCCTTAATATAAGTTGGGAGGTTTGCATTCTTCTGAACCACTGGCGTTAATTGCACATATCAAAAAGGATTTTCATTAGAAAAATTAATGTAAATAATTAGAAAGATATATTAAGAAAACTTCCATACTTTTTTTTTTACAAATAATTAACTTATGTTAAAGTATGCGTTTGTTTCTGTAAGTTTACATCAAATTCTAGTTTAGTCTTGTAAATTTATTAAGTGTGTTTTTAGTCTTTTAATCTTAATATTGTTAATGCTCACTCAGCAAATTTAAATGGTGACTGTAATTAAATAATGATAAAAGATGCTTAAATTTTTAAATATAAAAACGATCCATGAATGATTGCATTATGTGTGTTTATAAACTTTTGAATCCGCTCTATTGATGTATAGAATGCATTTGGAGAAAGATAGCCAGGGCAAAATATTGTAGCAATGTGTTGAACCACATTTCATAGTAAAGTATTAAGCATATAACTTTTTTTTCTGTATTTATTTTTTATTGCTTTTTCTCCGTCCATTCTATGAATGTAGAGGAACCAAACTTTTAAATTATACACGCACATATACATATTATATTATATATGTATGTATATGTCCAGTAATGCTAGAATTAACTCCACTTATTAGTTATATATATATATATATATATATATATGAGTATCACTCAATATTCTTATCTTATCTTGAATTAATGGGGGGAACAACTTAGTAAAAATTTTAGACCTTTTTTAATGGGAGAATATGATGAGCTCCCAAACAAGAAAAATAATTGGAAAACAAGTCCTAGAAGTTGTCATTTTCACTATAAGACTTATCATTATAAGCTGTGAAAGTTGTTATTGGGAATTTTTTATAATTATTTTTTTCTGTGGGACTTGATTGTAATTTTCCTTTCTAATTTTATTTTATAAATAAAATTATGCACGCCCCCGGAAACTGACCTAAGGGGTTATCATTTAAGAAGTGGCAATAACGGGATTCACAGCTACTATACCAGTCACATACTAAATGTAAGTTACTCATAGTATATTTAATATTTGTTTTTAAGTTTTGTCTTTATTTTAATTCTCGTTAAAAAGATAGAAAGAAGAGAGAGACACAATAATGTTTTTGCAAATGTAGAGGGGGAGAAAACTTCAATGAAAATAAAATTGAAAAATCTTATTAAGTTAATGTATTTCTTATTATGTAAAAATAGGTTACAAATGACTTATATAAAAACCAGAGTGACATACTACTTCCGGTTCTAATTATAAGAGCTAGTTGACTAATTTAAGGAGATTAAGAAAATAAGTTAAGTTAGTTATTTTTTATAAATAGGTATTGTCTTTCCTAAAATATCCTTACTAATCAAGTATATTGGTTAGAACTACCATTATTAGAAGGATTGTCTTGAGAAAAAATAGATAAATATGAAAGACAGTAAATTGGGTCTTATATTTAGAACTAAAATCAAAGTTAAACAAGATATTATACTACCTCCGGTCCTAATTATAAGGACTAGTTGACTAATTTGAGGAGATTAAGAAAAGAAGTTAAGTTAGTTATTTGTAATAAATATGTGTTGTCTTTTCTAAAATATCCTTGCTAATTAAGTGTGTTGGCTAGAATTATCATTGTTAGAAAGACTACCTTAGAAGAAAAAAAGTATAAATATGAGAAACAAAATGGATTAGGGTCTTATATTTAGGACCAAAATAAAAATCAAATAAAGTCTTATATTAAGGATCAGAGGTAGTATTAAGGATAGGAGGTAGTACTCCTCCGGTCCTTAATATAAGACCCATTTAACTAATTTGATTAGATTAAGGAAGTTAGGTAAATTAGTTAATTATAAGAAAAGTGACACATTTTTCCTAAAACACCATAATCATCTTTTTTAATACTCCCTCTCCCTCTTCTATTTGATTATAGTTGAGGGAGTATCTATAGAGGTAATTTAGAGAAAATTGATAAATATGAGAAATGGGTCTTATATTTAAGACCAAAACCAACTCAAGAATTGGGTCCTACATTAAGGACCGGAGGAGTATTAATTAGTGGTAAGATGATTATATATATGTGTGTGTATGTGCGCATTCTATTTTTGGAAATATTCTTAAAGGATGAATCCAATGAACCGACTAATTTATCAGTTCAATAAAGAGGCTTGGCTTGAAGAGGTGACGCAGGGACACAACTGATCATAGGAGCAGCTTCTCTGCTCCGCCCATTCCCTCTGCTACCCCGCTACTCCTATTAAAATGCTCCACCTGCACTTCGAAGACGAGTACAAAATTTAAAAAACATGAAAAGGGCCATTCTTATGGATTTTATGTTTCGTTGTAAAACGATTAATTTGCTAATTTTTATTTTTTCTCAATTATAATTATAAAGTATATAAATTGTCACAAAGTAAAATATTATTTAAAAAATATTTATATACTACTCCTCTAATTATATTTATAGGGCAAAAAGAAGAAATTTTTTGCTCTTATTTATATGGTGGAGAGGAATTTTTTTATATGAGTGTATGATTTTACCTTTCATTTATTTATTGTGTTGACTTTGTTTTCAGGAAATATAATGTATATTAAATAGAAATAAAGTTAAAAATTTATGAATTTTTAAATTAAAATTAATAAAATTTAAGATTTTTCTTAGTTTATATGAAACATATTGAATATGACTTATAAATAAAATCAAAAGAATGCCTTATAATAAAATATTTAAAAATATTTTTAACCTTAAAAAATATTTATATACTACCTTATTTTTTCCAAAATAAAACTATAAAATATTTTATATTTTTTCGCAATTTATATGCCTTATAATTGGTGCTTACATTAGACATACTTATACACTATCTCCAATCATAAACATAAGATTCAGTTTGTAATATAAATTATAGAAAAAAAATAACAAAAAAAAAAAAGAAGCTGAAAATTAGTAAATCCCAAATCTTATTTGGTAACAACACTTTATCTGATATTAACAACACTGAATTTGCAAATAACAACAAATTTTTATTGATATTTCTTATTTGGCATTTAATAATTTTTAGCTTCTTTTTTGTCATTTTTTCTAAATTATATTACAAATTAGATCCCATATTTAAAGCTAGAGGTGAGGTAGTAGTACCTTATAAGCGGGATTCACATTAGACATATTTATTTTGAACTAATACTTATAATTGAGAAAAAAATAACAATTAGCTTTTTTTTTTTTTTTTGCAACGAACATAAAATCAATAAGAATGGCCCTTTACATGTTTTTCTTCATTTTGTTCCCTCCTCTTCAGGTACAGGTGGAGCATTTTAATAGGAGGAAAGGGGTAACTGATGGGGATAGGAAATCTTATTTCAAACACACAAACAAAGGTCAATTTCAGGGAATTTAAATTTTCAACTGTAATCATATATGCATTTGGAGGCTAATAATTAGCAAATGGTCCGACTTCACCAACCTTGATGAAGGGGGGGGGGGGAACTAAACATTATATACAACTCCTAATTACTGTATTTATTTATGTTCATAAAATAATATTCTTTTTTATAATACTGAATCTTCTTTATAATCTAAAATTATATGCAACTAGACAAACTCATGCTCCTCTGATTTTAAATATAAATTTTTTTGACTAGTTCATAGAATGCAAAAAAGTAATTAAGATTATTATTTGTAAATAATATGTAGACAAATTGTGATGCTTTTCCAAAAGTACCCCAGCCATCTAATTATCAGAATTTAATTAGTAAAAATAAAAATGCCAGATAAAGAGGGGTATTGTGGAAAAGTAGTAATTAATATAAATGACAAGGAAGAATTGAATCTTATATTTAGGACTAAACAGACCTTATATTTAGAAATGAAGGGAGTATCATATTAACATAATAAACTATTATTGCTGTTATTTATTAGTAATAAAAATTATTAAGCAAAAATTGCAAAGGTAACCTATTTAAGTGGCATAGGGTCTATTTTATTTATTTCACCAGCTTCTAACACATTTATTTTATCAGCTTTTGTGCAAACTATATTAGTTATGCGTGACTGTCAGATTGTAGACTTTTTTGTGCTGGCTAACTTTACTCCTATTCTGGTTGATGAACAAGACTTAGCATAAATATTAACTCAACGCTTGCCTGAGAAAGCAATGGAGAAAAAGATGACAGCAACACAAGTCCTTGACCGAATTTCACTTCCTAATATGCATGAACTTGTGGTTGGCATTGAAAGAAAACTTTTTACAAAATAATATTACAGTAGATTCAGTCCAACAAATCTCCCATTTCAAAACAAAAAATCAAACATAGTGAGGACAAGAAAGCTCCGATTTTTTCCAGGGTAACAGAAGCATGGTTTTCTGTTGGAAATTTCCAGTACCCTTTTGATCCTAATTTTCAATGGAACAATGCACAATTCTCTCTCTTGTTGCTTTCTGCCTAATTGAGCACACAAAGCTAATACCATTGACTTATTACGGAGAAAAACCTGAACACCGATGTACTTTTTAGTTTTAACCAGCAGGTCTTTGTTTCATTGATCCTGTGTGTAAAAAAAAAAAAATGTTGTCTTTTTGGCACCTGAGAAGTTGGGAAAAATTTAACCCAACAATGGAAGAGGACAAAATTAATGATGTCAGGAACTAGAGTTAGCGGAATCTCAAAAATACTGCTTTCATCTTTGTATTTCACAAACCCATAAAAGAGATCGATCAGTTCTAGGAAGTTTGCTTCTCAGCTCTAACAACTAAAACCAACAGCCTCAATAAAGACCAAAGTGTTCTTTGATTTGTCAGCTCCATTACAAGGTTCTTTTCTCATTCTTTTCTCGCTTCTCCCACTTAGTCGCATTTATTAACCTAGTGCTTTACGCCCTCAAGTTCACCTATAAAAAAGATTCATCCTTGTTCTCTCTTTCGAACTTCTCTCCTTCATTAAAAGGAAACTTCTTCCCCAAAAAAAATAAAGATAATGGCTACTACTTTCTCATTCTCATCATCTGCATACCTTGTGAGATGTTCCTCCATGAGAGAAAATCATGACCAGCGTAAGCAGCAGCTAAACGGCAGCATCAGGATTAATGGGACTTCTAGGTCTCCAATTAAGGTTGATTCAATCAGCCAAGCAGCTGAGGCAGTTATTTCTGTTTCAAAAAATGGCCTACGCCAGAACATTCCAACAAAGAAGCAGCTTGTTGATCCTAACCGTCAAGGGCTCATGGTTGAAGGTGGAGTTGGCTATAGACAGACATTGGTCATTAGGTCCTACGAGGTTGGCCCCGACAAAACTGCAACACTCGACAGCATCCTCAATCTTCTTCAGGTGTCTACATAGTACAAGGGGTTCATTGATGCCATGTCAAGCAACCTTAGATTTTTATATTGCTATTATAATGTAGTTGACGATGATGATGATGATGTGCAGGAGACAGCATTAAACCATGTATGGATGTCTGGACTGCTCAGTGATGGATTTGGGGCAACCCATGGAATGATGAGGAACAATCTCATCTGGGTCGTCTCAAGAATGCAACTTCTGGTTGATTACTACCCTATCTGGTAAGTATAATCCATCCATAATGGTCATCTCAACAATGACAGAAACTGTTTTTGTTGGCTAATACGCTCATCTTCAGAAATTTTCACCCCACTTCAGACAAACCTCCCTTCAAAATGGCATTTTCCTAAGGATCCTTCATATTATCATTTCTTCAGATTTTATCTGCAGAAAACCACAAACATTTATATCTTAATATAATATAAACACATGACCATCCGAAACTCAACTAAACAACTATACACACTTCCTCTTCATCAGAATAGCTTGTGAGTAACCATACTCTCAGCAGAACATTCCCAGTAGACAGAAACTTAACTATTTCGATTTTCTTACTGGTGAAAGGCTGAACCATAACCAGTGAATGAACTGTGACAAACATGGCAGGGGGGAGGTGGTTGAAATTGACACATGGGTTGGAGCATCAGGTAAGAATGGGATGCGGCGGGACTGGCTGATAAGAAGTCAAGCCACAGGTGGTATTTTCGCTCGAGCAACAAGGTTTGCCCCAGAAAATTCCCCCTATTTATTGTTCCTCCTTTCCCCTTTATATGACTTTACTCATGGCAGACAATTTATCAAACAGCACATGGGTGACGATGAACCGAACAACAAGGCGCCTCTCAAAGATCCCAGATGAGGTGAGGGATGAACTTTCACCTTGGTTCATAGAGAAGCAAGCAATAACGGAAGACACCCATGAAAAAATTGTGAAGCTGAACAAAGAGGCAAAATATATGATATCAGATCTGAAGGTATGGCCATATACTGGTTCATCTTTAATTTCTGACCAAAGCAAACAAACACAGCAACAAACGCTGACAGCTATATTTCCATTGATGCAGCCAAAGAGGAGTGATTTGGACATGAACCAGCATGTCAACAACGTGAAGTATGTAAAATGGATGCTAGAGGTGAATTACAAATAAATTTCTTTATTGATACCTCATTTATAAATCTCATGCTTAACTTTCAAATCTACATTTTTCAGACTATCCCAGACCGAATCCTAGAGAGCCACCAATTATCTGGAATCACACTTGAGTACAGAAGGGAATGTGGTAGCTCAGATATAGTTCAATCACTGTGTGATCCCGAAGAAGACGAAATACTGAATGATGTGGAGAAACGAGATTACAGTTCAAATCTGTTCAACTTGGCGTCAGAGATTATCAAGGGAGGCGGATTATTGGGATGCCTGGAGCAGAGACCCCTTAAGTTTACGCATCTTCTACAAGCCAAAGGAGAGAAGCAAGACCAAGAGATTGTGAGAGGAAGAACAGTATGGAAAAGGAAGCTCCCTTCAATGCCATTTTCCCCTCAGTAATATCATCTACAAAGAAATTGCCTTTGAGAAGCGACAAAGGCGTATACTATTGCGTGAATCTACCAAGAAATTCTTGGCGAAAATGCCATTCATGGGGTTTGGAATTACTTGGAAGAAAGAAGGCGCCATTTTAACTCGAAGTGGAAATATTGTATGATATTATTGTCCTTGTAATGAACCGTTTTATTATAAATATAACACTAGATTACAGAAAAACTTCCTGAACTTTTAATTACCTAGAAATAACTTTCTGGATAAAAAACCAAAAAAAAAATCTCTCTTGATTTTAAAAATTTTATAACGAAATCTACATAATTAAACTTGCAATTCTGCGTGGATAAACTGATAAACTCCAATCATCAATTATGCTCACTTAAATTTAATTATTGTGTGTATATAATCCTTGGGTTAAGGTGCGTCCAGCACCCCGAACTATTCATCCAGGTGCGTCCAATGGCCTAAAATAATTTTGGGTGCATCCCGTATCCTAAACTAATTAAAATAGTGCGTCCATATCCCAGACTAACAGAAATGTTATATTTAACTGTTACTTTTCTGACTCAGCGTAAAGTTGACCCCAAATATTCTAAATGGCAGACATATGGACATTTGATGTGTATTATTCTTACTTAAAATTGAATTTATTTCCTTCCTCTTCTTCTAAATAAATTGACTTTTGAGTAAGAATAATACACATAGAGTGCCTATGTGTCTGCCATGTAGAATATATGGGGTCAACTTTAAGCTGAGTCAGGAAAGTAACGGTTAAACATAACATTTCTGTTAACCTGGGATATGGACGCATCATTTTAATTAGTTTAGGACATTAGATGCACCCAAAATTACTTTAGGCCACTGGACGCATCTGGGTAAATAGTTCGGGGTGCTAGACGCACCTTAACCCTATAATCCTTTGAGTGTCATGCATATAAACCCCTAAATTGCCTAAATACTCCTCTTGTACTTAATATCTACTTAATTAACATGGAGAAATTAAGAAAGTTAAATAAATGACTTAATTCTAACAAAATTGACATTTTTCTTGAAATACCTATTTGTAATATTCTTTCAGTCCTTTATTATAGGATTTAAATAACCAAATTGCAATTTTAAAATGCTTTTAAAATCAGTTAAAAGTAAGAAATACGCAGAAAATGTACCTTTTATTTCAGATATGTCCTTATTTATAAGTGGGTAGATGGAAATGAGAAAAAAGATAATGAAAGAGAGTATATTAATTAAAGGTAAAATGGGTAAAAATACATTTAATGTTCAAACAAATTTAAAGTAAATCTTATAAGAAGGACAACTTAATTCAAAAATTTAGACCTTATAATAAGAGATGGAGAGAGTATTAAATATACATCAGTTTATAAGTTAGATAAATTAGCTTTAAAAAGTTGATAAATATAAAAAGTAAAATAGATTAAAATATGTTAATTGAAAAAAATAAAAAAAATAAGTTTAAATCTTATATTTAAAATTAAAATCAACTTCTTAACTAGTTTCTATATTTAGATCAGGTATAATTATAACTTATAAGCCAAATTTGAAATGCCTTTTTATCTCAATTTTTCTTTTGGAGCAACCATTAAAAAACCAAGGGAAAAGAGGAGTTAAGAAGTTTAGGGGCCTAAGCAGCATTTGGTTCCTATACGCATTTTGTTGGGTCTTTGGTTCTAAACTTCTAATAGTCATTCATAATGATGCTAAAGCTAATGGAGTTCGTTATCTCTGGTGGTAAGAAGAACTCTCTCACTTCTCCTTGTAACGAGGAGGATGATTTGTTGGATTGAAGCTCTAAAAACATTAAGAAGGGATTGTATGCTGCCAGTGACAATGCATTTCAGGATCATTGGCCCAAGTTAGGCAAAAATCTAGGAGGAAACAAGAACGCTAGGGTGTCTTTTGCAGATAAGTTGAAAGGAGTCTCTGGGAGTGATGATAACTCAGACACTGATTCTGAAAATGAAGATGATTCATTATCAGATGACTCAACGTCTGATAAGCCCATTTCAAATCAAACTCGAGAGAAGGAAGAGCCTATGTGTAAGACTACTGATGATCCCAATAGGAACTTCCCCACCTTCACCTTCTCTAATAAGATGAAAAAGCGCCTGCATAGAGCATGGAGCAAAGCAGTGATTGTCAAGCTGTTAGGAAGGCACATTAGGTTCACGGCTCTAGAATCCCATTTATAGACTACATGGGCTAAGAGAGGAGTTATTAAACTTATTAACATTGGCTATGGTTATTATGTTGTCAAGTTGACAAATAGGGAAGACTATTTTAATGCTTTAACAGGTGGCCCATAGATGATTTATGATCACTATTTAACAGTGAGACCATGGGAACCCAACTTCAGACCCCATTTAGCCACAATTGATATAGTTATAGTATGCGTTAGATTACTCAGGGTATTCCTGGAGTACTACGATAAAGAGGCTTTGATGATTATAGGCAACAGGATTGGCAAGACTTTAAAGGTGGATATGAACACTTCCTGCCAACTCAGAGGCCACTATGCCAATATTTGTCTTCTCGTAGAATTGGGTAAACAACTTATGTCTGGATTCCATCTTGAAGGTGAAGATTATCATTTAGAATATGAAGGTTTGCACCTTCTATGTACTAATTGTGGTGTCTACGGGAACGGACATGATTCTTGTCCATTGAAGGACGCACGAGAGGTGAATCATTCTGACTCTGTTCCAGTAACTAAAGAACAGGGGATACAAAAAGCAACAACTAGTGTAGAATAGTGGAAGGTTATTCAAAAAAATTGTCGTCCCTAGCAAAACAAAGACAAGCAGAATGATGCTTTCCGGCAATCCAAGTGGGGATCCAGGTTTGATGTGTTAGTGAATATGGGAATTAATGAGAATGAGATTAATGATGGTACTTAGGGGATTATGGAGGAGGTAATGACAAAGGAAACAACCACTATACGGCATGAGCAGTAAGGTCCACTAAAGGTATGACCTGAGAAAGTAAAGAAGGGTGGATAGGGGATGAACAAATGCATTAACGAGAATATGGTATACGAGGTTGCGCAAGGAGCACAAACTGCCGCAATAGCCCAAAAGAGTAATATGAGGAGAGAGAAAAGAGCATGGAATACGTTGAGGATGGAAAATGATTGTGACTGCAACGAGGGAATGGAATTGGGAGGTGACAACAAGAATGGCAATACGAGGGAAGCATAAGCAAAGGAGTTATCAGAGAATGTCCCCTCTTTGTCGTTACAAGATGATCCTAGAGATAAAAGAGTTATGGACTTGGATCCAAGAGAAAATGAGTCTGGGCTCATGCTACATAGCCCATAAGGCTTTATCTCTCATATGAGTGTTGATAGCATTGGGTCAGTAGTTCCTGAAACCCAATTGCCTTGAGCTCGTTTTATTCTATCTTCTCTTAGCCCATATTATTTTATGGATAAAATATTACTCCTTCCGTTCGTTATTATAAGAGACAAATAATTAAATTACGTTAATAAAAAAAATAGTTAAAATTAGTTGAGGACAATTAATGTATAAAAAATTTAATGTTTTTTCCAACAATGCCCTCATTAATAAGGAGAGAGAGTATGAGAGAGAAGAATTAAATTATTAAAAGAAAGAGAAGTGGGAGGGAGGGAGAGTATGAGTTGGAGACAAAATAAATAGGGGTAAAATAGAAAATCAATACAAAAAAATTGAGATAACTTTTAAGTGTCTCTTATATATGGGAACATGTCATAAACATCAAATGTCTCTTATAATAAGGAATAATAAGGAACGGAGAGAGTATATTGGAATACTAAAAGCTCGTGCAATAAAGGCCTCTGCAGGAATGTGAAACTTCTCTTTAGTGGGTCCAGGCTTAACTTGGTTTTCTTAGCTGAAACTCGTTGTGCAAATGAAAATAAACTCCGCCCTTTCTTGTCACTAGGTTACGACAGCATCAAAATCATCCCAAGTGTTGGAAGGTCTGGTAGGATAGCGGCAATCTAGAAGAGTGATGAGATTTGTGTGTCAAAAGTGGAAGGAGATAGGCAATTTCTTGATCTAGATTGCACTATTACTGGAAGTCCTCAGTTCCATCCTACAGCGCTCTTCCTCACTCTAATTTTTGCAATTTACTATGGGAAAAATTAGAGAATATCTCGTCTAGAATTGGCTGCCCCTGGATTGTCTTAGGCGATTTTAATGATATTCTCTCTACTTCAGAAAGAATCAGTGGTTTAGGTTGTAATGATGGTCGCATATCATGGTTTCAAGATAGAGTTCAGTGTTGCAATCTGTCCGACTTAGGTTCATAAGGATTACGTGGAAGGGACCCAAGATCGCCAGACATGCTTATATCTATGAGCATCTTGATGGAGCTTTGATTAATCTTCTCCTGTCGGATGAGATGCCAAATTGTTTCCTTAAGGTACTTCCAAGAACCCGATTCTCTAATCATAATCCCCTACTCCTGAATCTAAGTTTCTCAGGACGAGCTAATTCTCAAAATTATCCATTTCGGTTTGAAGCCATGTGGCTTAAACATGATAATTTCAAGAGTTTCCTTGAAGAAAATTGGTCTGTCTCAAATGATTTGCAGTTGAATCTCGTTAATGTGAGAGAGGCGATTAAACATTGGAATGTAAACGTTTTCAGCCTTGTTGAGAAAAGGAAAAAGACTTTGTTGGCAAGACTAAATGGGATTAAAAAATCTCCTGCTTTTCCTTACTCTAAATTTCTTTGTGATCTGGAACTCTCCCTTCAAAGAGAGCTTGATGAAGTGCTCCGGTTGGAGGAAATTAAATGGTTTCAGAAATCAAGAGCATAATGGATATCTAGAGGTGACAAAAATACTAGATATTACCATTTGAAAACCAATGTCAGGCGAAAAAGGAATAAGGTCGTTGCTCTTCAAGATGCTAATGGTAGATAGGTAGAGGAGGATGAGAACTTGAAACTCCTTGTTATTAATTATTTGAAGCAACTCTTTTAGTATGAGGATACTCCAGTGCATTATGTGACTGAGCTCCAAACCTCTTCTAATTTTCCCTCAGTAGATAAAGATCGCCTCAAAAATTTGCATGCCTCTCCTTCTGATCTGGATATACAAGTAGCAATTTCAGCTATGGGCCCTTTTAAAGCACCAAGAGTTGATAGTTATTCTCCAATTTTCTTTCAATCAAATTGGAGTGGTGTGGGCCCATCTTTTTACAGATTCATATAAGATGTCTTTGAGGGTAAAGCTTTTATTGATGAGGCTAATAAAACGTTAATTGCTTTGATTTCGAAAGGGGACAACCCTATACGTGTCAAGCACTTCATACCTATTTCTCTTTCTTCTGTGCACTGCAAATGCATTACTAAAATTATTACTCGGAGATTGAAAAATGTGATGGATGATCTTATCTCTTCCTTTCAAGTGAATTTCATTCCAGGGAGGCACATCCAAGATAACATTATTGTGGGGCAAGAATTAATGCACATCATGAGTAAAGCTAAGGGGAGAAGAGGTTTAATGGCTCTAAAAATTGATTTGGAAAAGGCATACGACTATGTAAGATAGAGCTTCTTAAAGCAGGTTCTCTTTCATGCTGGGCTTGAGGAGAATTTTGTTAATTTGATTATGAACTGTATATCCTCAACTTCCTGTAATATGCTTTGAAGTGGTGGCCAAACGGAATTTTTTTCAGCCAAAGAAAGGTCTTCAACAAGGTGACCCAATCTTACCTTATCTGTTTGTCTTGTGTATAAATAGATTTTCTCACATTATTAATGATGTTGTGTTAATCAGGATCATTGGAAACCAATCTCTGTAACTAGAAATGGACCTTTAGTCTCCCATCTCATATTCGCCGATGACCTCCTCCTATTTGGAGGGGTGATAGAAGATCAGGCTAGATGCATGATGAGTTGCCTTGATCTGTTTTGTTGTGCTGCGGGTCAAAAAGCCGGTAGAGAGAAGTCGTCCATCCTTTTCTCTCCCAAAGTTGATGGCCATATAGAAAAGAAATATGCAAAGCATTACTAGGATGAATGTTTCCAATGAAATTGGACGATACCTTGGTTTTCCGTTATCTAGAAAAAGGAGTGCTACAGAAACATTCCAGTATATTGTGCATCGGGTGCGCCACAAGCTTACTACCTGGTAATCAAATTGCCTCTCCACGGCTGGGAGGATTACTCTGGCTAAATCGGTACTTGGCACCATTCCATTATATCCTATGCGAGTTGCTAATATTCCGTTAAGCATTTGCAAAGAGGTGGAGAAGATTCAGCTCAATTTTATCTACGGCACGGCGATGAACAGTAAGGGTTTCCATTCCATTGGATGGGATAAAATCACTATGCCAAAGAATTCTGGTGGCCTTGGATTCAAGAAGTTGAGCTTTGTCAACCGTGCGTTCGGTACAAAGTTAGCTTGGAAACTAATTCTCGGATCAAATAGTTTGTGGGCACAAATTTTACAGCAGAAATATATGTGCAGAAGTGATGATGATTTACTTAATGTTCGACTTGGAGACTCAAAGCTCTGGCATTTCATTTGTCAACAATCTGACATTGTTGATATGGGATCAAGATGGCAAATCAGAAAGGGGCAATCAGTTAATTTTTTTAACGACACTTGGCTCTTTGAGAAACAGAGTATCAAAGAGGTATGTTTGAGACCGCTTTCTGCTGAGGAAGAAGAGAGTACTGTCTCTGAATGGGTAGTAAATGGGACTTGGGACTTCACAAGATTATCCAATCTCGTTCCTAATGAAGTGATGCAAAGGCTTATCTCAAAGCTCCCACCTATGACAGCAGCTGGAGATGACATCTTAGCTTGGAATGCCACTACGAATGGGGACTTTTGTAGATAATATTCAAATAGGTTATAGTTACCGAAATATTAGGTAGATCATGGGGATTTAATTTTATCTCAAAATCATTCCTGTAATCTTTCTGATTCTCCTATAATCCCTCTCGGATTCCCTTGTAATCTTCCCGACTCCCCTGCTCTCCTATATATACGCTGTACAGTGCTTGGTTAATATTCAATTCGAAATAATATACATACCAGCTCTACATGGTATCAGAGCCGACGGGGGAAAGTCGTCCACCCAGTCCGGCCACCTCGTCTTCCTCTCCGTCCACTTTGGAGAACCGTAACGGTGGGTCGAACCCCATGAGAAGCTCGAATGCGATGGAGTCTTCTCGTGGTGGCTCCCCGACAATTGATTCCAACACAGCCGGTGGTCCCTCAGGGTCGAACACTGGTCTCGATGGCTCACCCATTGCCATCGTCTCGGAAAAGCTCATCGGTAGCAACTATAGGGAGTGGGCGCAAGCTGTTCGACTGGCCGTTGGAGGTCGCGGCAAGCTGGGATTTCTTACGGGTACGTCCAAGGCACCCGGTGAATCTGATTCTGCTGCATTACAACAGTGGATCACCGACAACTCCCTCGTATCATCGTGGCTCATCAACGCCATGTCACCGTCACTTAAACGTAGCTTCATGTATCTGCCCACTGCTAAGGATATCTGGGACGCCGTTCGTGAGTCTTATTCTGATGGAGAAGACTTAGCACGTCTCTATGATCTCAAGACACGCATTTGGACTGCCAAACAGGGAACTAAAAATGTTACCGAGTACTGGTTAGAGCTTGTTGGCTTGTGGCAGGAGCTGGATATGACTACAGAGGAGGAGTGGTCCTCTCCCACCGATGCTGCTCGCTATAGACAGAATCTTGAAAAGGAACGTGTGTTTCCATTCCTTGCTGGCTTAAACACCGAGTTTGACGACATTCGAAGTCGTATTCTGAGTCGTTCTTCCCTACCCAGCACTCGTGAAGCCTTTTCAGAAGTCCGACGTGAAGCTTCTCGCCGACAAGTTATGTTATCTGGCTCCTCTCTCTCTATTCCTGAGTCATCTGCGTTTGCTGGCAAGGCCCCTGCTTCCTCTCCTACTAGGGCCAAGTTGACCTGTGATCACTGCAAGAAACAGGGCCACACTCGGGACCGCTGTTGGGATATCCATGGCAAGCCGGTTGACTGGAAACCCCGCAAAAGCAAACCCCGTGGTTATCAAGCATCGCAAGAACCTGTTCTGTCCTCTAAATCTCTTCCTTTGTCCACCGACCAGCTGCAACAATTAGTTACTGCACTCAAAGGTCTCAACATGCATCCCCAACCTGCTGCTTCGGCCTCTGTTGCTCAGTCAGGTACCCCTTCGGTTGCCTTACACACTTCATTCCCATCAAACAAATGGATTGTCGACACCGGGGCCACTGACCACATGACTTCTGATTCCCGTATGTTTGTCACTTACTCCCCGTGTGCGGGTTATGAAACAATTACCACAGCAAATGGTACTGGCTCCACTATTGTTGGGAAAGGCACTGTTACTCTTTCTGACACTCTTCACCTTGACTCAGTTTTACATGTTCCTAAATTGGCTTGTAATCTCTTATCTATCAGCAAATTGACTAAACATGCACACTGCGGTGCTTACTTCTTTCCTACTTATTGTATTTTTCAGGATCTCTCATCGGGGAAGATGATTGGCACAGCTAGGGAGCATGAGGGTCTCTATTATCTCGACATTCCTACCGTGGTTGCTTTGTGTTCGAGAATATCTGGTCTTGTTTCTTCCTCAATTGATCATGAAATTTTATTATGGCATAAAAGGATGGGTCATCCTAGTTTTTCCTATTTGAAACGTTTGTTCCCGAATCTTACTATTAATAAAGATTTTATTCTTCATTGTGACACATGTGAATTTGCAAAACACCATCGTATACCCTTTCCACCGTCACACTACAAACCATCCCGTCCGTTTTCTGTAATTCACAGTGATGTTTGGGGTCCGTCTCGTGTTTCAAATCGGACTCACGCCAAGTGGTTCGTTACCTTTATTGATGATCATACTCGCATGTCTTGGGTCTACCTACTTAAAGAAAAATCTGTTGTTCCCTCTATCTTCATGGAGTTCTATGCAATGATTAAAAATCAGTTTCATACCACAATTCAAGTCTTGTACACCGATAATGGCACAGAATATTTTAATCACCAGTTCACTTCATTTCTCAAAGCCAATGGTATTGTTCATAATAGCTCATGTTCTCATAGTCCACAACAAAACGGCCTTGCCGAGAGAAAAAATAGGCATCTTCTTGACGTCGCTAGAGCCCTCCTCTTTACGTATAATGTACCTAAATTTTTTTGGGGGGATACTATTCTTACAGCTACTCACTTAATCAATCGTATGCCTAGTCGGGTTCTTTCCTTTGTGTCTCCCCTAGACAAACTCCGTGAGACTCATCATGTTGCTCATCTTGATCATTCCCTTCCACTACGCATCTTTGGTTGTTCTGTCTCCGTCCATCTTCATCATCCGCCTTCTAAATTTGACCCCCGGGCTGTTAAATGTCTTTTCTTAGGGTATTCCTCTAGCCAAAAAGGCTATAAATGCTACGACCCCGTCTCCCACCGCCTTCTTGTCAGCCGTGATGTCACCTTCTCTGAACATGAACCTTTCTTTCCTCAGTCTTCAATTCAGGGGGAGAGTTGGAGTGAATTTCAGTCTTCTGACAGAGTACCTGAACCCATACCTCCGCGTGAGTCCAGTTCACCTGTTCCGTTTTTTGAGTCTGTTCCTCCCAAAGCTGTACCAGTGCCAGAGGCAGGGGGAGATAAGACCAGTATGAAATATCACAAAGTTTACTCACGGAAGAACAAAGAGACTGTAGGACCCAACTTGCCCACAGCCTTGCCAGAGTCAGACCCAATGAAAGATTTTGAACCCACTGAGGCAGCTAATCACAATGATCTACCCATTGCCTTGAGGAAGAAAACCCGCTCATGCACCATGCACCCCATACAAAAGTATGTATCATATGCTGCTCTATCTCATGATTATCATGCTTTTGTTACTGATCTTGACAAAATCAGAATACCTAACAATGTGTATGAGGCACTTGAACATCCGGAGTGGAAGAAGGCAGTGATGGAAGAAATAATGGCCTTAGAAAAAAATGGAACATGGGAAGTAGTTGACTTACCTAAAGGAAAGAAGACAGTAGGATGCAAATGGGTCTTTACTCCTAAATATAACGCTGATGGTACACTTAACAAGTTTAAAGCGCGATTAGTTGCCAAGGGCTTCACCCAGACCTATGGAATAGATTACAATGAGACATTTGCTCCAGTAGCAAAATTGAACACAATCAGGGTTCTGTTATCAATTGCGGCCAACTTAGATTGGCCTCTACAACAACTAGATATAAAAAATGCATTTCTCAATGGTGAATTACGAGAAGAGGTCTACATGACACTGCCTCCTGGTTTTAATAAGGGAAGACAAAATCAGGTGTGTAAATTGAAAAGATCTTTGTATGGGTTGAAACAGTCGCCTCGTGCATGGTTTGATAGATTCTCGAAGGTCCTTAAAATGGAGGGCTACAGACAAAGCTTATCTGATCATACAATGTTTGTCAAGAAAAACGGAGATCTAACGGCTATCCTCATTGTATACGTAGATGATATTATTCTCACTGGGAATGATGTAAATGAGATAAGCAGGATAAAAACAGCCTTGAATAAAGAATTTGAGGTAAAAGATCTAGGGAAACTGAGGTATTTCCTTGGGATGGAAGTTGCACGGTCAACAAAGGGAATCTATGTCTCTCAGAGGAAATATATCCTTGATCTGCTCAAAGAAACTGGCATGCTTGGGTGCAGACCAATTAAAACCCCAATGGGTGTAAAAAAGAGTCACTCCAAGCGGAAAAAGAAGAAAGCAACAACTAAGAGCGAGCAAGAACTGGAAAAGAAACTGCAAAAAGATGAGGAACCAGTTGACACTGGGAGATATCAGAGGCTAGTTGGTCGATTAATCTACCTATCACATACAAGGCCAGACATTGCTTTTGCAGTTAGTGTGGCAAGTCAACATATGCACTCACCAAGGAAAAGACACCTGGATGCAGTTTATAGAATTCTAAGATACCTGAAAGGGACACCTGGAAGAGGACTTCTCTTTAAGAAGTGTGACTCTAGAACGGTGGAAATCTATACTGATGCTGATTGGGCAGGTAACCAAGAAGACAGTAGATCAACATCTGGCTATTGCACCTTCGTATGGGGGAATTTAGTAACCTGGCAGAGTAAAAAACAAAAAGTTGTAGCCAAAAGTAGTGCAGAATCGGAGTTACGAGCCCTAGCCCAAGGCATAATGGAGGGACTATGGTTGAAGAGAGTAACAGAAGAAGCTCAAGTTCAGATCACCGAATCAATGAAACTCTTTTGTGATAACAAGGCAGCGTTAAACATGGCTCTTAATCCAGTTCAACATAGCAGAACTAAACATGTCGAGGTTGACCGACACTTTATTAGAGAAAAGGTGGAAGATGGAATTGTGTGCTTGTCCTATGTTCCTTCCAAGCAACAACTCGCAGATATTCTGACCAAAGGACTTCCGGAAGACCTATTTGAGAACTTCATAAGCAAGTTGGACATGATCAACATCTATGATCCAACTTGAGGGGGAGTGTAGATAATATTCAAATAGGTTATAGTTACCGAAATATTAGGTAGATCATGGGGATTTAATTTATCTCAAATCATTCCTGTAATCTTTCTGATTCTCCTATAATCCCTCTCGGATTCCCTTGTAATCTTCCCGACTCCCCTGCTCTCCTATATATACGCTGTACAGTGCTTGGTTAATATTCAATTCGAAATAATATACATACCAGCTCTACAACTTTACTGTCAAGAGTGCCTATTATTTGATTGAACAGAGTCAACCAAATAGCTACAGCTCCACTTATAACGCTATTTGGAAATGGACAGGTTTTGAGCGGATTAGAGTCTCCTTATGGATTGCTTTCAATAATAGGCTCCCCACTAATGCATGGAGGAGTAAATGGGCTGGTACTTCTCCAATATGTTCTCACTGTGGCATTGGAAGCGAAGACACCATCCATATTTTGCACGATTGCTCATACGCTTGACACCATCCATATTTTGCACGATTGCTCATAGGCTGAGAAGCTTCTCTGAATTTTTCTCTTCATCATTATGTGATTAGATGTCATGCAATCTAACCAAGAAATGGGTTGCTGATGATACCTATGAATGGAATTTGATTTGGGCTGTCACTGCATGGTTTCTATGGATCTGGCGTAATAAATCAATTTTTGAGACTGATTTTCAAAAACCAGCTCAGCCTTATTATGTTATCCTAAATACCTGGAAATCTTTTGTGGAAGGAAACAATCTACCATCTCCTTCTTTGAACCCCTTGGTTAGACCGACTGCGGCCTGGCAACCACCTTCAATTGATTGGTTTAAGGTGAATGTTGATGGTGGGGTTTCTAATGGTTCTCAAGACGCCGGGTGTGGGGGAATCATTTGGGACTATAAAGGGAGCTGGATTGTAGGATTTTCAAATATGCTAGGTCAATGTACCCCTAATGAAGTGGAAGAATGGGCTATTTTGAAGGGACTGCAAGTCGCCTCGGATTTTGGTTTCAGAAACATTATTGTCGAATCAGACTGCAAAAATGTGGTGGACTTGATCCTTAAAAACCAAAGAACAAACTCTTGCAGCCTGGTCTTTTGTCAGACTCAGGAGATGCTGACCTTCAAGTGGCAGGTGAAATTACAACATGTAACAAGAGAGCAGAACCGTGTAGCAGACTCTCTAGCCAAGGAAGGAATTTCCAGAACCTCTTTCTTTGATTGATGCCCGTCTCATTTGTGGGATTTGTGCCAAAATGATTGTCGGGGAGCTACTCCCCTCTCCACTTATAGTTTTCTTTGTTTGCAAGGGTGAATTCCCTCTTCTTTTATCCAAAAAAAAAGGATGCCAAAGCTTCAATGGGAAATTAAGATCCAACATATTCGCAGAAACTTGAACCAAGCTGCTGGTGAATTATGAATTATACTACACCGCAAGTCCACCTACAAAATATGAAATCCATAATAAACTATATTATTCTTGAACTCGTAAATAATATAACTCATTTCTCAAATTCTATATAACAAAGAATAAACGGATTACGAAATGTTTAATTAAATTAATAAGAGGTAGAGAAAATTATTTTAAATTATTGTACAAGTCCTTATACCACTCTGGTCCTTATTTTTTGTCACTTGTATGAGTGATGACTCCCTACTTTGTTATATGATTTTATATCTATTGTAGGAGTTTGTGTGATAATAATTGGGTGAAATTACAGCAAATATAGGGAAAATACAATAAAGACAATTAAATGAAATAAAGAATAAAAAGAGGCTTATTTATTTATTGTTTTTATAATTTCTCTTTAATGAATCTAGACAAATGAAATGTTTTCTTTCTCATAATTTCAAGATATTTCATAGAGATTCGTAGGCTAAAGCTGAAGACATTGACAGAAAGCACAAACATTACTGCTAAGATCAATGATGGACTTAAATAAAGCCCAAAAAAACGAAGGTGTAGAAGATCCATGAAGTTTAAGGACTTAAAACTGCAATTGGGTTGACTTACAACATGGTTGAGACCCATTTATATCAGCCTATTACATATACTCTTCAATTGGACCCTAAAATCATCACTTCAGCCCAAATTACGAGTCTTTTACAGCCCCGTACCTCAAAAAATGTGACTTGCATATTAAGGAAGGGTAGAGTGGTGATTTTATAACGCTATCTCCTCAACAAGTCAAGTAAGGGGCCACACGTATTAATGAAGGGCATGTTGGAAATTTCTAAGATCATTAATTCCTTAATTATATCAATTTGTGCAGCCATTATATTTAATTAAGCAAAAGATTCAATATCCTACAATATCTTTTATTTAATTAAATATAATGGCTAATCAAATTAAAGAAAATATCTCCTCATCAAATCCATATCATCATCTCCTATCAAGATTAGAATTCAAATCATTATCTGTCTAAGATCAAGCCACTTGTGAACAAAGAAAATATAATGTTCAAGAAAAGAAAGATGAGAAGGAAGATAAAGACTTATTAAGATCAAATATCAGGAATTTAAATTATATTGTCTTGATTATCTTCGCATCTCTACATCTTCATGTTACCTAAAGGAACACACCTGTTAGTTTATAAAAAGAGGGCTAAAAGATGCAGATGGAGGACACGTCACACTCATAAAACATGACATACACCACTCTCTTGCTTCTTCCTTTCTTCTTATTCTTTCCATCATCACCATGTATGGCTAGTCTGCAAATCCTGAGAATAGATCTTATGGCTTAAGTTCTCATTATTAATTAGAGAGTTGTGGTTTGATTTCTCTCTATGAATTTAATGATTTCTTAGAACTCTAGGTTTTGAAATTTCATATTTGAAACTTTGATTTTCAAGTTGATAATCTTTATATCGAACTCTTTGTGATTCAACTTATATTTTATGATTTGATGTTCTTCATTCATATATCTTGTTCCTCTTATAATTGATTTATGTTTTTCTACAATAGTATTGTTTGACATGCATGGATCAAATATATTTTGAACTAATCAATAATTATTCTATTTTAGAGGACAAATTATGAAATTAAGTTGAATTAGGTGTGAAGTAGTGAGTTAATAACTATTTAAGGAGTAATTATAAATTAGGCTTAAGGATGATAGTCACATATCTATCCTTAGGAAGATTCACTATCATATTTGTTTATTTTTTTGACTAAAGTATATTTTTAGTCATTTAACTTTACATAAAGTTTCATTTTGGTCCCTTAACTTTAAAAATAACTTTTAATCCTTTAACCCTAAAACTGTTAACAAAAAATGATAATATTAAGCTCCTGAATGCTGATAAAACATTATTAAATGCTAACATATTAAATTTAATATTCAAAATAACCATGATTGTTATATAAAAAAATCATCATTTAAAACTAATAATTTTGGGGTTAAAGGACTAAAAGTATATTTTTTAATGTTAAGGAACCAAATTGAATTCTTACGTAAAATTAAAGGACCAAATATATACTTTAGCTTATTTTCTTCTTTATATTTTATTTATTTATTTTTCTTTCTTTATAAAATTAAAATCCAAAAAAAATATTTCTTTTCATTCTTTATTTTCTTTGATTGTGTCTTTCATGTTTGCTTAGTTTTAGAATCAAATTTAAATTGACTCTGCATAGAGAATATGTCACATCCTGTTAGTTCTAATTAGGTAAATGAAGAATTTAAAACTAACCAAAGGCCAAGCAATGTAGTAGAGGCAAAAACGGAATGACGATTGACATAAAACCTGGGTAGGGATCAGACTGTCATTTTGAAAAGTTCCGGTCAAGAAAGAGCATAATTGGAAACTATATCCAAAATTCCTAAAAATTACTTTAAAAAAATAGAATAAAGGGTCTAAAATAGTATTTGAGGCCTACAACTGAAAATAAAATAAAAATAATTTATTTTAGAATTTTATATAATTATTGGTATTTTTAGCTAAGTAAAGGGAAATTGCTCAAAATGAATTATTTTAAATATACAGAGGCCTCAATAATTTAGAAAAAAATGAGGAAAATTTTTTTGAGAGATTATTTTAGATTTTAAAATTATGCCCAACCTTTGGTAGCTTCAAAAATATTTAAAGTTGAATTATATTGGTAAAAAGATTGATTACGAGAAAATTCGAAGAGAAGGAGTTATAGGTCAAATTTTGACCTTAAAAAAATTAGGAAAATTTTCCTCAATAAAAGAAATTTATTGGCACAAAGAAATAAATTTTTATAGATATTGGATCAGACAAGATGCATGAAAATTTAATTACGATGAGATTAACCAAAGTTTATGCTGTTTTTAGTGCCATTTGTCTATGGGCATAATTAGATGTAGTTAATTTATAATAAAATATTATTTTATAAGCACATAGATAATAGGTGGCATGACATGTGGCGTGATCATAGAGGGCAAGACAAGATCAAAGGACAAGTATACATGAAAATTATAACATTTCACCAAGGGCAAAATAGGAAACTTAAGGCCAAAACTTATCTATAAATACCCCCATAAACCCATAATTCGGCCAAAAAGGAAAAACAAGAGGGGGAAGGTTTTGCCATTGAATTGAAGAAAGAGGAAGAGAAAGAGGAAGAAGAAAACCAAATTAGCTCCAAGCAATCATTCAAGGTAAGTTAAGACTTTCATTAAGATTTTTTTTTTTTGGGTACAAGGGTTTCATTAAGAATTTAATTACCTTGATTGGTGATTGTTTTGGGATTGATTTGGATGGATAAAAATTAAAGATTCCATGGAACTTTGCTGTCTAAATTGCCATATAACTTGCTATGAATGATTAGAAGATAGCATAGGGATTAGATGATAGAAAATAGTTAGAAACTTGTATTTTAAATTGGTTTATGAAAGAATTCTATCTTGTGACATATATGTACATGGTACAGCCAACATGGGTTCATTGGGTTAGAGTTTGATTCAATTTAATTTGATGCTTCCAATAAGTTTAAAAGATGAAATTGTGTAGGATCATGTTGAGAAAAATGTGTTTGGAAGCATTAAAATTGAAAATGAAAATTTGGATTACCATACCCTATGTTTCAATCAACATGGAATCTAGGGAAAGGAATTGAATTTTGATAAATCTAAGTCCTAATATGGATTCTACATGAAAAATCATATGAGAAAAGCATATGAAAGTTATGTTAAGAAAGATTATGCAAAAACCACAAAATTAAAGATAAAGAATTAGGGTTTTACATTGAGCTTTAATGAAGTTGTTTGAGTTGATATTTAGAGTGCAATTATTGTATAATTGATAGGCATTAATCTTGGGCAAGAGAAGACTCAAGAACAAAGGCAAGGGAACAAGAATCAAGGATTTAACCAAAGTAGCAAGAACTTACAATTTTAGTGTTAATTTGTATTGGTTGTTTTGCTATGTGTTTTATGTCATGATGTGGTTGAGCTTGCCATATTGTGATGTATTTAACTCCTTACATTTATGCCTTAAAAATATGTATAGTTGAGTTGTTTAATGGTATGATTATGTGCTCCCTTTTCATGGCATGATGTTATATATGAATGCATGAAAATGTTGATTACATATAGCGTGAATTAACCTTGCATTGTTAATATTATGATTGTTGTTCTTTACTACTGATATTTCTTTAAAATCTCAACCCTTTTTATATCTAATTGACACCACTAGAGATTGGCACTTCAAGGGGCAAAAAAGGAAGAATATGGAGGCTTAAAGGAAAGTTGCATGAAATGTCATGCAATTATATGTTCAACTATGTTTTGTAACTAAAAGTTTTGAATATATTTATGTAATGTTATGTAAACCTTGATGGACGGGTATATGGGATAATGCTCCCACCTCTTGGGAGGTATAATGATGCATAAGTATAAGTTGGTATGAATGGTAAATGGTAAACACAGAGGATTGGCCAAAATTCCACAAGTTAATACAAGTAAAAAGGATATATATTCTTGAAAAATTAACCAAACGAAAGAATCTGGCCATGAGATTTGGTAAGCTTATTATAAGCTTCAAATGGAGTGGTAAAACACCTAATTTGAAACTGTGCGTTAAAAGTTATGAATTTTTAAAGTTATGGTAAAAAATTAAAAAATAAAACAATAACCAAATGAATAGTATTTTTCATACGAAAAATAAAGCCCCATTGATAAAGGTATTTGACTAATGAGTATGTTTCCCATGTAAAGAAATGAAAGAGCTTCAAATAAAACTTTAAAACATCTCATTTTGATTTTTCTAAAATTAATTGTAAATTAAGGTTACTAAGTGAATAGTAACTCGAATGTGATTTTTCCAAATATAATCTTCTAAACTTAATGTCATGCAATGTGATTCCA